AATATGTTCCTATCTATGATGGAATAGTCACTGTATTCCCTACATCCTTCTGAAGTTATGTTGGGAGGATTAACCATTAATATGAAACCACTTTTAAAAACTGGTATTTTTCAACTTGCTATAATTCTACTGAACAGGTTGGATGATTATCACAGGGTAAACATTACGAGAGAAATCAACAGTTGATGAGGGTTATAATAATGTGGACATTTGACTGAAGTTGGGCCCTTAGAGAAAAGACATGTCTCCCTAACTTAACTCTCTCTCATTCTAAATGTTAGGCCTCGGTCAGCTTTTAATAATCTATAGTAATACTTTTAAAAAAATACTTTATTTATTTTTAGAGAGAGGGAAAGGGAAGGACAAAGAGAAGGACAGAAACATCACTGTGTGGTTACCTCTCACACACCCCTCAATGGGGGACCTGGCCCGCAACCCAGGCATGTGCCCTGACCAGGAATTGAACCAGCAACCCTTTGGTTCACAGGCCGGCACTCAATCCACTGAGCCACATTAGCCAAGGCTGTAGTAATACTTTTTTAAAAATAAGAATTCAGCTTAAATAAATGTTGAGATATACTAAGAAAATAAACTGTAAAATTCATAGCAAAAAAATGAATTTTATCTAATGTCTTTACAAGGAACATTAGGACATATATTAATTACACAAATGTCTTTAGCCACCTTTAATTATATCTTGGTAATCAAGCTAAAACCTATTAAATATTTTACTATAAATATACTACATTGAAAACATACACGTAGGTTTAAATCTGAATCAAGGGGAAATAAGTATGAAACGAATAAAATCTGTTTGATTTATATTTTGTCCCCAAAGATAATTTCTTGTAATGCTCCAAGTGAATGACCAATTACAACTGAATTAATGCATGCATTCATTTATTTACATTTTTTTGCATTCTCTAAGTATTAAATCTAACAATAAAAAGCTGGACTCTTCAAAAGCATGTATGCCTATAATTAAATGGCAGGAGTCTAATCTGTTAAAATGATAAATGGTTTATCAAAGCAGACAGTGTCAGATCTGTAAGTGATTTATGTATTCAAACATAAACTTAATGTATATGTGTGTGGAGGGTGATGATGTTAAGAAATGTTTTCCAACAGACTGTCTGAGTCAATGTGAGCACACATACTTAAAATTCTTGATTTGCTACTTGACATGTACTTACTCTGATGACAACAACAAAATGAAGGATTTAGAACAAAAGTCCAGTTAAAATTTTTAATAGCTAGGCCATTCGTTAATATGGTCACTTGTACTTCAAAGTAGTGATGCTGTAAGATCTGATTAATCTAAGAGATCTCTATGTCCCGTCTACTGGTAGTAACCCAAACCCAAGAAAGTAATGTATCAAAATCAGCCAAAACTGTTTGTTTATTGCTAGAGGTTGTTTATTGCTAGAGAATATGATGTCTGGTAAGGCAAATTAGTTAAAGAACAAAACTGTAAAGAAACTTTCTTTTCTTAAAGCACAAAGACTTACTACATACATGGAGCACTGTTATTTATTTCACATATTGCTACTGTACCAATACTTTACACTCAGTCATGTTCCTTGTTTTTCTTGTTCAGAAACACCAATATTCTCTTCATTTGCCATACCAGAGAGAATAAAATACTCATTTGCTTGTTCTTTTACCCTCTTCCTAAAGTGACGAAGTTTGAAAAAACTGCACAATACTATTAGGTGGTAATGTTCCTGTTACAATTACCACTTCTAAACAAGCTGGCAAAATGGAAACATTATATTTCACTCTAACATAACTATTTCACCTGAAACTAATGCATATTAAGTCAAAAAGTTAAATGCATCTCAATATTCTTAGTGGTATGGAATCAGAACACATCTCAACCAATATCAGAATTTCACCTTCATGTCTGCAATTTTTAATACAAAAAAATAAGTAGTGTATCAGGTGATTTATAAGTAATAATTTAAAAAGCAAAATAGCTGTTGAACATGATCTTAAAAAATACACATGGCAAATCCCCAAATGTATTTTTTTATATTTTATTTATTTATTTTTAAAGAGAGGGGAAAGGAGGGAAAAAGAGAAGAGAAACATTTATGTGCAAGAGAATCATCAATGTAGGGAAGAAACATCATTTGGTTGCCTCTTGTATGCCCCCAGCTGGGGACATGGCCTGAAACCTAGGCATGTGACCTGACTGGGAATTGAACTGACAATCTCTCACTTTGCTGGTCGATGCCCAGCCCACTGAGTCACCCATCAGGGCAACTCCCCAACCGTTTTAAGAGGGGAGTACCAAATCATCAGAAAAGTAATATTACAGCCCATGGATTCCTAGAACATTATATCAAAAGACACCACATTTCCAAGTACTTTGGCAAATTCTTATATACATGTAGTATCACACTACTCAAATATACTCAAAGCAGTAAGGAAACCTATAAATTATTTAAGGTAACTGATTCAGTTTGCAGATCAATTTATTCTCCAAAATATTTTAAGGAGATAAGTCTCTTCTTTAACAGAGAACTTTCACTTGTTAAAAACCACACAAAAGTATGCTTCCACAAGTGATGTCATGTCCTCATCTACTTTTAGGTCAGAAGGTTGAGAAATGCCACCATCAGGGCCTCTAAACTCACTTCTTCCACTCTGCAATGATTGTTAAAGAGTATCGGACAAGTTTAAAACTGGGAGAGATGGCGAACTCAAGCCGTGACTGAGCTGAAAAGACACAGAAAACACATGTTGCAACATCCTTTCTACTAGTCCTCTAGTCCCATTCATAACAGACTAAATGGAATAAGGGGGGAAAAGGAGACAGAATACAACTCTTTGTATGTAGGCTCACAAGCAAAGTGGGTGACTTCAAAGCCTACAATTAGCTGCATGCTACTCAATCAACAAGTTTTTATTAAGAATTTACTAGTTTCCCACACTGAGCTAAGGTCTCCATATCTGAGACACATCCCTTCCATTTTTGATTCTGGGACCTAGAATTAATGTACACCAGCAGTGCTACAAGTACTTACTTCCTTTGGAAAAGCTTTCTTCCTCCCCAAACCTGCTCTGAGACATCCCAATAAGCTCTGGAATGGCACAAGTATCACAGAAATGGTAAATTTAAAGCACTTATTTAAATGAGCAGGAGCAGACAGGTAACATTCTCAGTGGAGCTTGAAGGTGGGCAGGAGCATAAGAGAAAGATGTGAAATCCTGGTTTATGGCAAACAGTGTGGACAAATGAACCTATGTTCAAAGCCAATGTTCAAAGCCAGCCTTGGCCTATGAACATTCTCCAAATCTATACATCTCTGAAGTGACTCGAACAGGATTTCAATATTACGGTTCTAATGCTGCAGGAGAAGAGGAGTTTGTAGTGATCAGGGAAAAGGAAAGATTTGTAATTCTATAAAAATGTCAAGATAAGCAAAGGAAAGGATGAGCAAAAAGGCAAGGAGAATGATCTGGGAAGGTGAGAGGTCCAAAGTCAGTCATCAATTGGTTGACCTTACTTTTCAATATTCTTAAACCAGCAGGTTTCTTTAACACTAGAGGGCATAAATGCAAACACACACACACACACACACACACACACACACACACGAGGTGGTAGCAACCTTGAGCAAAGGCAACCTTCACACAAAGCCAAAGATTTGAGGGCCTAAAGGAAACACAAAATGTCAAGGGGCAGCCAAGTGTCTTTACCCTACAAGTAAAATCTCTGTCCTGATTCCGACAGAAGTGACGGTGAGCTCTCCCAAGCAAACGGCTCAAGGACTGAGTGCAATGGCAGTTTAAAGCTGGCAGTCCCCAAATGCTCTGCTCCTCTGCTAGTAACACCTTTGCCTCCTGAACACTCCCACCCTTTCGAGATTAGTTTCCCCCTGGATCAGTAAGCTTCTGGGTTTGCCTGCCCACCGCCTCTTCCCCCCTGGTTGCCTGTAAAGGCTGGAGATGTAGGCTCCGGGTAAGGGTAGGGGCGCCTGCAGCTTTCGCTGTCCAAACCAGCAGCCTCCGCGCGCTCGGGTTGGCAGCAGCGCAGAGCCCTCGAACCCCGAAAGGAGAGGCTGGCTCTTGAGCTCGACTTCACAGCCCAGACAAGGGCAGGCTGCTTCAATCCCCGCATCCCCTCTGGATCCCAGCAGGGAAATCTCTGAAGGTGCCCAGAAGGTGGGCCGGGGTGTGTTCCCCTGACCGGGGCGCCTCCTTGGGATGTAGGAGCTGGTGTTTGGGAGGACGAGTCAGGGCAAATGAGAAAGGGAGATGAAATACGAAGCGAAAGGCAAAAAAGGAGAAAATACGGCAAGACTGGGAGAAAAGCCGAAGCGATAGAATAACAGGGACACAGAGACATCCCAGGGAGAAAGAGAATGAAAGAGAAACAAGGAAACCCGGAGGCTGGGGGAGTCAGACCCCGGAAGAAACCAAGTCAGAGACAGAAAGACATACAGAGAGAAGGGAAGACAGAGAGGCACTCAAAGAGTCAGGCAAAGGGAGGCAGAAAGAGAGCAAGGCAACCGTCGAGGAAGACACCCGAGATCCAGAACGTCCCCGGTGCCGGGTAGTGTGAAAGCGTTTGTGCGTCGCCGCAGCTCCCGGTCGCCCGCAGCTGGTCGGAAAAAGTTGCCGGGGTGGAAAGGCCGAACTGCCCTGCGCCAAGCGTCACCAAGACGCGGAGGGGTCCTGCGCCCCCACCCCCCTGATCAGCGGGGTAACCGAGACAGCGGGGTAGAGGGCGGACGGCGGCACAAAGTTCCGCGCCTCGTGCCTCGCGGTCCCCCCTCCGCACCCGCAGCGGCGGGGGACCGCGCTCGGGGAGCTCGGAGAGCCCTCGGCCGGTCCGCCGGCGCCCTGCCCCGGGACCGGTGCGGGGTGCAGGACTCCGCTCCCTGCCACTCACTGCAGGACTTGGCGGCGCCCACCCGGGCACTCTGGCGGCCCAGGGGTGACTCGCCCCAGACAATTACAAGGAAGAGAAGGGGAGCAAGAGAGACGGAGACCTGCTATCGTGGCCAAGGATCCCGCGAAGAGGGAACGGCGGTCCACGCACGTAATTCAGCCTCCGACCCAGCCAGGCGGGCGCTGGCCAGCCGCGCCGAGTGCCGGGCGCGCGGAGCCTGAGCTCACCTGGAGCCCGGCTGGCCCGCGAGCGCCGCGCACTGCCCGGCTCCCGCCTGCGCCTCGCTCTTCACACCTCCCCGCGAGCAGCGCGAGCGGGCTCCGGCCGCGGCCAGCCCCAGAGAGGCGCCCTCATAGCGCGGCGGCGGGCTCGAGGACAACGTGAGCGCAGCGAGAGCAGGAGCCGAGGCCGAGGAGGCGCAGGAAACCGATCAGGGCTCCCAGCGCACAGTCCCCTCGGCTCAGCCGCCGCCGCCGCCTGGTCACTTCGCCCCCGGCCCCCGCCCCCTCCCACCCCGGCCGGCTCCGCGCAGCCCCTCCTCCTCCTGCGGCCCCTCCCCCTCCCGTAGACCCAGCCGGGAGGCCTTTCGCACGGCTAGTACCGTTTACGTAACCGGCACCCCCGGCCGTCCCCCCTCCCTCGCAGCGCCTACTCCTCCCCGGGCTGGGGCGGTGCGCGCTCAGCTCGCTCCGGCGGCTCCTGGAGCCGCGGCTCCGAGCGCTGCGCCCAAGTCCCGCGATACTTGGCAGGCGCGGCCTCGAAGGGCGAACCTTGGGTCGGCTCCGGCTCCGCGGGAGCGCCCTGGACCCGGGGCGCCCGGGGCCCCCCAGCGCGCGAAGGCGCGCACCGGCGAGCCGCGATCAAAGGCTGAATGGAGGTCGCGACTGCCCTCGGGGAACGCCCGGGCTGCCGCACCCCAGCCGTCGGCTCTGCGGGGGAAGGAGCTGCGGGAGCTGCGGGTCTGGGTGCGCTGTAGCAGAAACGACAAAGAGTTTGGCTTCTTGTCCTTTACACTCCCTGCCAGGATGCTAGTGTTCTGGTTGGTAAGAAAACTGGGAAAGCAAAGTGCTTCCCTGTGCTGTTAAATTTTTTAGGAAGAGATAAAGTAAAAAGTGGATCTTTGAACTTCTTTTCAGTCCGGAAGCTATGATCTTTAACACCACACACACACACACACACGCACACAAACCCTGAAGTACTCGAATGCTTGCATTTCAAAAGTAATCATTTCTTTTGGGTAGTCATTTCTAAGTAGGGTTAACATGTAGTGTAGCAGAAAGGCCTGGTAGTAAATGAGTTAAAATACTGTGTGTAAGGATTTTAGAGCAGTGTCTAGCACAAAGCACAGACTTAAGACTCAGTATTAGCATCTGAAGACGCGGGACCTATCCCCCACTTCTAGGAAATTGGCATTGCTGAATTCAAGTCCCTGCTTCGTCGTTTATTCACTGTTGACCCTTGGTTAGTTTTAGTCCTTTGCTTTCTTCATTCTCAGTTTTCCTGTTTTTAAGAAGGAGTAAAGAGTGTTTTCCTCTTTTGCGGTGTCACTTTACCTGTCTTAGCTTCCCTCTTCTTAGTTTATTTGGCAAACCTGCGGGAGGATATAAGAGCTACTACAAAAATGTTAAGAGCTACATTGTACAAACATTATAATCAGTGAGGTTATTGATATTCATAAAAGGCAATTTCTAGAGATATTATCCATATACCTTTTCATGAATCAATTATTATCTGAACAAGTATGATAACTATATTTAATGTTCCCACCTACATTGTCCATCCTGCCACCCCTCCCCGCTATTAATTATGAAGCATCTACCAGAGGGGCTTCTATGCATGTGTGAGGACACCCGGTGTCACTTGTAAAACCAGGGACACTCCACAATTTCTCTCTATTGCTCCCTCTTGTGAATCATGGTTCTGCCATCAAGCTACTCACCTCTTCATGGCAAATTGAAAAAACCTAAGGACCACAGGTAAAAGATTTGGGTTCTAATGCTGGCACATCGTTTAGTAGACATTTATACTGTAAAGAATATAATACCCAATCTCTATGTTCTTCATCTTTAAAAATGTAGCAATACCATTTTGCAATCTTTGTAGTAACATTTAAGGCAAGGATCATAAATCTAGTTGGCAAAAGTTGTATGTGTAACAACAAGACATTGACATAATCTCAAAGTAGTCTCTTGGGAATTACTAGCTTTTGCTTTGTAACACACTATCCCCAAACTCAGTGGGTTAAAACAATAAACTAAATCTATATTTTTGCATTGTAATGTGTACTGTCTGGTGATTTGCTGCTCTGGCTGGCTCAGTTTGGGCTGGGTGACCCAGCATGGCCTCACTCACTTGCCTACTGGTTGGCAAACTAATTGGGGGTAGAGCTTCAAACTGGTCTGTCATCCTTCATTAGGCAAGCCTTGTCTTCTTGAGCAGTGGTAGTTGCAGAATTCCAAAAAGCAACGGTGGAGTGCAAACACCAATTTAGAGTGCTTCTCGAGGTTCTGTCAATACACATTTGCTGATGTCCCATTTGCCCAGGGGAGTTACGTGGCCAAGCCCAGATTCACAGTTGGACTAATATAGTCCATGTCTTGAAGGGAAAAACTAAAAAATCATATTGCAAAGAAGAATGCACACACAAATGGGAACCACTTTCATAATGGGGTGAATAGATTCATAATAGATTATGAATATGGGGACCATATTCATAATCTATCATGGGTTCTTTTTAATTACCAGAAAATGAAAAATTCCTTGTAGTGAATGAATCTGATAAGCATTCCTTTAACCAAATGACCGAGGTTAAAATCATCAGTAATGGGACCAGGTGATATCATGAGGTTCCTGATGTAATGCACTAAAAAGTACATAATAAAATTTATTTAGTATTCCAGACCAAAAAAAAAGCATAATTGACTGCAAAAGATAAATTTAAATTGAAGGAAATACCACAAAATATCTTCTCTGTACTTTTCAAAAATATCACTCTGCTAAAAGTCAAAGAAAGGCTGATGAACTGTTCCAGACTAGAGAAGACTAAAGAGACGTGACCACTAAGTGCAGTGTATAATCCAGAATTGAACACTGGGCTAAGAAAATGAATATATCTATAAAGAACACTGTTAGGACAATTGGTAAAATATAAATAAGTCTCAATTTCATCTATAAGTGCTTTATGTATGTTAAATTACACTTAGTTTTATATCAATATGAAATATCCTAATTTGGATAATTTTAGTGTGATTATGAGTAAAAAGGCATATTAGCTTCAATTTATTCACAATGTTTCAGAAATACCTCAAGAGAATGATGAAAGAATTGTGAAAAATATTTAATGGGTAATAAGTTTTGGCGAAGGGTATATGGGAATTTCTTGTAGTAATTTTGGAACATATTTTACATTTGAGGTTTTTTTGTAAATGAAGAGAACCAATCTTTGCATATCTCCCCCCCCAAATTAAATACAATATTTTATGTGGATGAGTGTTGAAATTAATAAAAATTTTATATTGTACTTTTTTTTCAAATAGAAAGCTAGGAATTTATCTTTAATTGGTGAAGAGTTATTCAAATATTTGTTTAGATAAGTATGATGGCTGATATTGTTTAATTAACTGGCTATAAGACATAGAGCACCTTAAAAGGGAGTATACTAAAAACAGAAGTATAAGTTTAGCAGGTACAGTTGACTTGATTAATTAAGGCCCACATTAAAATGGAAAAAGGGGTGCTATATCTAGATGACAGATGATAGACAGATAGATAGATAAATAGATAGATATGGTTGAAATTAAAATGTCTGTGGCAAATTATTAGTAACAAAAGAATAAAAAGGTGTTATATAATTTTTAGAGTTTAATATTGGATGAATGAATGAATGAATGGAGATAAATTTTTAAGAGAAACAGAAAGCAATAACTTTATTTCTAAAATGAAAATCTAATAATATTTGCTTCTAATTAAAATATCTCAGTGAACTCCCATTGCTTTTAGAAAATAGCCTGAATTCCCTAATAAACCTTACAAGAATCTTGATGATCTAGACCCTGCTTACTTCTTTAATACTTAAATGAGCTAAGCACTGGGACAGAATAAAAAGAAAAAGAAAAACAGCCCTCACTGAACATAGAGACTTCGAGTCATGTCCTTTATCCATTGTATATGTGTTGAGTGCTTAGAGTATGCACTAGGAATGTGAGCAGAAAGATTGCTTTCATGAATGCGACATTTCAGTGTGGTATGTACTAAGCAAATAAGCAAATGTGTACTTATATCAGGTGGTTATAAATTCTCAGAAGAAAGATGAAACAGGCTGAGAGCTGAGCCTTTTAACTAGTCTGTTATAAAATGTTTACAGATACCCCTTGATATACTGATCATCTCAAACGTCAGGGGTAGCCAAGAAGAGCAACCTCAAGTTGTCAGAGTTCACAGCCAGGTAGTCTGTAGTCATATGAAGCTTGTTCAGAGCTCTTTGGAGAATGGCTTGAGCAAGGCTGGCCTGACAGTATGTCCCATTCTTCCTGAATGTGGCATAAAGAGGCATCTACTTCTGGACATCTACTTCAGCGTTCAGACCACAAGGGCTCTTGAAATGGTTTGAGAATTTTTTCAGGGTACAAGGAACATTGTAGTTTAAAGTGTAGCCCATTACAGATAGAGGAGCAAAGAGGTTAGGCAGGAACTTCTAGTAGGCATAGCTCTAACAGGTGACTCAAATATCTAGCAACATAAATATAATTCTGTTGTACATGCTTCTTATTTGCTGTTTCTGTGTTAGCCATGTTAGCTGCAGGTTGATGGTTTTAACAATGCTTGAACATTCTTCAAATGCAAGCTTTTAATTCAAATTTTCTGGTAAAAATTTTGAACAGACTTGAAATCTATTTATATTCACAACTCAAAATTACAAAAAATAATTAAAAAGTAGAGCTGATATATTTTAAATATCATGTCAATTGATATTTTGCACCCTAAAAGTAGAGGTTTGAAATCTTTTTCACCTACTTGTACAAATATATTTTCTCAGCCTTGATGATGATTGACTATATCATCATGTAAAGTGTAATGACCTGCAAATATTATAGCAATTTCAAGTGTATAATCAGTTATTAACTGTTGAGATCATAGAGGCAATATTTCACTGAAATAGTTTTTAAAGATTTTTATTTGGAGGTCTTATACAATCTGATAGACCATCTCTTCTTTAATATATTGTTTTTGCAATAATAATTTAATAATTTGAAGAAAATGTAATTAACTCTTAACCAAGGTTCATATTTGTTCTATTTTATCTCAAGATCTATGAAGCCCTGTATCCTTCTTAGTGCCTAACACAGTTGCAAATGTACATTTTCCACATTTGTGTGATTGGCGTCTATTTTCTCCAGTGTATAGTAAAATACACCAGAGTGAAGTTTTACATAGTGGCATTGGGAGTGGTGGGAGTTGTAGTGT